TCTATCTGTGATGGGGGAAGCTCTGAATGACGATTTTGAGGAGCACAGCGTGTAGCCACTGAGGGCATGCAGTTCGAGATTCAAAGTTTTAGCGTTCATACATGATTTCTATTGTGTTTGCAAGAGACCCTCTTCTAATCGCCCTTCTTGCCGCTGACGTGTCGCCTTCCAATGTGTCCATCGTCGTGGAGTAGTCGTGAAGGGGTCGTTGTTGGGCATTATATAGAGCAGCTGATTGTTATTGGGGACGCTTTGACCTCAACTAGTCGGTTCGCCAATAATTTCACTAAATTCAGGATAATTGGTGGAGCGGTGGAGCAATCGTTTACAATTCGAATGGTCCCGAGTTCGAATCTCACTCTGTACATTTCTCCGTCTTCAAATTCATATTCTATTGTGATGTTGAACTTGAAATGGCTGATAAAAGAAGACCTCATTGGTGCTTTTAGGGCCCGCCTGTGGAGGCTAGCGCTTAACTGAAGACAATTGTGAGTTGATATATGGAGGTGAGAGTGATAACATTCAAAATTGGTTTTGTTGAGTAGACTAGAATGTAACGGCAGAGACCCGCAGTAGAAATGGCATATCTTAGGTTCAAGCACGTAAGATACAGAATAGGTCCGCATGTTACCAGGTGGCCTCCATTTTCCCATTTTCATCCCAATGCCCTCCGACACTCCTCAAGATGGCAGATCTAAACCTCAACTAGCTCGATCCTTTTCTATCATACAAGCTCACAATGAGCAACGCTCGGAGCTCTTGGATGTTCTTTCTGATGTTAAAACGAAAGTTCAAGATCGACTGGGGATCGTCGACTTCCCTCTGCCGCAGTTCATTTTAATTGGCAAGCAGTCTGTTGGCAAGTAATGATGAGGTTGAATCTGGGCTTCTGAGTAATTCTTCTCATATGTTAATTTCACACAACTGTTTTCAATCATTCTGGTATTATACCAACGCACTGCTTACATACTGTACTACTGCGACTACTATATACTGCTGCTCGTTACTACATACGAGTGATGTTTCACTTTTACTTCTGCGGGGATATTCGCGGTGCTAGAGTGAGTGAGGAGTGAGGACTTCACTTGGTAGAGTACTCACTCTCTTACTTGTTTTTTATGGTAAAAATATACTGATCGTGAAGTTTACTATGAGTGCATTTTTCATCATGAAAAGTTTCTTCTCAATTTTGAATAACGATGATGAAAATGTGACATTCCTGAGTGGTAATGTGGACAGTGGAAATTTGGAAAAGATGCACATGGTCAACGAAGTGTGTTGGTGAAAATATGGAAATTTTCGGGAAATTTTTTGATAAATTTCCGTTACTCATGTGTGTACTTCTATAATGGGTGAGGAAACTCTTGAGCTCAGCTCAGGCGAGCGAACATATATTCATGTACTGATTCACGGAGGCTATTGTAGCCACACCTATACTGCAGCTTGCCTCAGGTCTCGTCTTATCGAGGCTCTTGCGGGCGAACAGTTCAATTTCGTCAGTGGCACTATGGGGAGTCGCAGACCAACTGTTTTGGAATTCCGTAATGTACAACAGAATAAGAACTCGCGGTGGTATATTATGGATAAAAAGGTAATGCCTCTGTGTCACAGTGTGGTAAAATTTACGCATGGTCAACCACATGTGTTGGTGACAATATGAAAATTGTGAGGAAATTTTGGGGATTCCTTGTTAGTTTCTGTACAGGTATCGTATATATTCTTCCAATTCGTATATAAAATCATATGAATAGTGAGGAAAGTATTGAGCTGAGCTGAGGAGGGCGAACCTTTTTGTACAGCACTGTCTCCTGCCGGGGATCGAACTCGTTCGCGTTGGGTCTGTCGTGGCTGAGTTTTGATAATATCGCAATGGAAAAACGACAGACATGGGTGTCGAACCTGCGGCCTCAGACTAACAAGTGGCAAGAACACCCTCTCTACGAAGTGACCCAAATCATCGGTGAAGCTCACGAGTCGCTCGGTGCGACAGTTACGGATGATCCTGTGTAAGTCGCCAGGGAGTTATTCGACTTTGTAACTGTGGGAAAAATGTTCCTAATGTGTTGGCGTTGGAAAATCTGTTCCTAGCCGTATGGGAAATTCGAAATTAGTTTCACCTCGGGAAGCTTTATAGGTTTGTGGATGATTCTCTCTCGTGGTTGGCAGTAGTTGGAGATGAAACAAAGCAAACAGGTTGAAAAACGTATGATTTCTTACTATAATAAAATTCTACGAATTTTACTGTCACGCAAGGCGAAGGAAAAATAATGACCGATTTTTAGGCTACCATTTTATCGATAATAAAAGAAAAATATTTACAGATTAGGAATTTTCGGAAAATTCTTCATCATAGAGTCATCTCTGTTTGGTCTGGACATTTTTTCCACGGAAATCATTCACTTGCGAATTTTCCTATACTCAAAAGGGTTTCCAAAGTCGTGGATTTCTGGAAGTTTTTTAAGAATCGAAATCAGATACGTTCGCGTGGAGTCTCCATTTTGTGTGGATATGCAAATTGTCGATCTCCCGGGCTTCCGAGACTTCGCCCTGGATAAGGAGAAGCAGCAGTTGGCTGACCAGATCGACAACTTGGTAATTTTTTTGGCGCAGTGACGGTGTTTACTACTATGGCCTCAGGTTCAAAGGTTCATGCAGGACACTCGTAATGTGATGATATGTGTGGAGGAGGCGGGTGACGCTGCGAATCTGTCGACCTTGTCACGGTGCAAGCGGTTGGACCCGGGATTTCAAAGAACTATTCTTATAAGGTTGGAATGCTTATCGAAGGGAGTTTCCAGAGCTGATTATAGGAAATTTCACGTATGAATTTGGGTAGAAGTGCATAGGAATCAATACGAATTTTTCTCGGAATTTTTATATTGTTACCGACACATGTAGTTGACCATTTGCATATTTCCCCCTACATTTTTATCGTATAATTTTGTGCAGTTAGTTCGCGCGTGTTTATTATGGAATTTGGTGATAGTATATTCAACAAAAAAACGACTATAGGAGACGACTTAGGAATGTATCAAACTTTCAACGAGTATTGGCATCCATAAATGTCCATCTCTGCGATGTGAATATTATCCTTTTTCGAGTGGACATCATCGTTTTTACTAAAAAGTGAGAATTTTAGGGTATGTAGTTTTATGGTAGATTTCTCGTGGGCCAGGCTTCACGTGTTTAGAGAAATATATGAAATTATGTTGTTGGTGATAAAGTGAATTTTCGGTGATTTTCGTGTAGTGTTTTTTCTTCATTTTAGGAACAAGCTGGATAAGTACTATCGAGATTTAACCGCGCAGAATGTGAACGACTGGTTAAACGGTTTTGGAGATCTTCCGGATAATCTAAGTGGGTTCGGAGTGAAATTTTCGGAAATTTTCGTGATTTTTCTGTGGAATTTTTTTTCGTGAAGGTAAATTTTGTATGACATTACCGCATTGGAAGGATAAGGAGGAATGCCCTAAGCCGTTTGCGGAGCTGAGGGAAGATATGAATAAACAGGATGTGGCTCAGCTACGGTAGGTTGTATATTTCGCATATACCGCAACAACAGGCGCTTTGGTGTTGTGCGTGCGTGCAGAATTATTCCGGATTAAATTCAAAGCATAGAATAGTATCAGATGAGTCAAACGAATCCTCTGTGTGCCGAGGTTCGCGCAAGAATCGAAACAGCTCTAAGAGATATGCACGAAAACTTTTTCTTGTCGGAAAAATGTCCACCCCGGGGATCGAACCGGGGTGGACACATTCTAGGGTAGAGCTATTGGATGAATCAATAGACGAGGGCTAAGCGAGCTCCTCCTCCTTGTCGCGAAAGCCTAGGGATTAAATATTTTTTCGGAACTGAAAATCGATAAAGTGCGAGCCGTCTAGAAACACGCAAACTGGGCGGAGATCTCTTTGTTTCGTGTCCACGAATTTCAACCAAATTCTTTCACCATTGAAATCCTCATTCTTGATTTACCATAATGCAATTCGCGCACTTGAAAGTCAGCAATTTTTTTGTCATTTTTACTTTCCTGAGCCTAGGGCATCGTCGTTTGGAGCACTCCTAGCGCCCTGTATATGAATGTAGATATATCTAATCCTGTTATAATATTACTAGGTACTAATTTTAACTTTAGGATTTCAGTAGTTTAATATTTAGAAAATTCATGGATATTGTAGACTCACCCTAGTGATATGAAAAACACTAGTGAAAAATATACATATCACCGCGAATATCGCGTTTTTCACGGAGTTTTACGCCGTAAAACAGGTGAAACTCTACTGTTATGAGGACTACCACACAGAGATGAAGTTGTTAAAAATTGAAGTATGTGTCGGGGATATTGAATAGGATCGGCAAGTGTCACTGCGCCATGAAATTATTATGAAATAATTTTGTGGCGCAGTGACTAAATTATGAAGATAATTTTCACCCTACGTGTGTTGTTAGGTCTAAAGGAGCGAGTGAGAGATTCGCGTCTACTATTGGTTTTGATAATTTTACTAAGTACATGGAACGCCGAATTGAAGTGATGTTTGCCCAGGCGATCGGCCCTGTTTTGAAGAAGGTATCTTTAGGTTGAGCGAGTAAGATACGGATTAGGTTGCCTTTTGTCCTTTTGACAGTTGAAAGATTTGAAGCAACAGAATTTGGAAAAGGAGGAGAGTATGAAGGACGAAATTGAGAATACGAATCCCGCGCAGATCGTGTCTACTGTTCGCGACGTGGGCATGAGTTTTGCCCATTGTTTAAATCACGTGATGGAGGGGTAATGCATCGGGAATCGAAAATATGTTCATGTTTGCGTATGTCATGAATAGACTTTCCTAGTGTTGGAGTAAGAATATATGCATGGTTTCCCTCAGCTGAGCTCAGGAGTTTCCAAAGCTAATTATAGAAGTTTACGTACTACGAATTTGACTATGTGGAAAAAACCCAAAATTTCCTCAGAATTTCCATGTTGTTACCAACTCGCGAAGTTGGTATTTTTTCCCGAATCGTCATGGGTGAGTGTTACGGGATTGCATTCAGATCGGAATGGGAAAATAATAATTTTTTTTGGAATTTTTGTTGTTATTGGTGTCAGTTTCGTCCGCTCGGATGCTGGTAGGTTGACGTTGGAAGATGAGCTCATTGCATTCGCTGCTTATGAGGAGGTGAGGTGGTGGTAGGATATATACCGCAATAAATGTCATTTTCGCGTTGTGCATGCGTGCGTGGATGATAAATTATGAATTTGGAATAACGACGATGAGAAAAGTATCAATGAACTTTATTCCTTTTTCGTCCAGAAAAACACAAAAAAAGTGACAAAAATTTTCGGGAATATCGGGGTGCTAGTAGCGCGAGATCTCAGCGCTGGGCGAGCGAGATCTGCATCTTCATCATCTTTTGTATGAGTAAAGATGACGATCTTGGTAGATGGTTAATCATGACTATATCTAAGTTCTGTTGAAGTTTCAGCGTGAAACTCTGGTGAGTTGGCGTGAAATTGTAATTTTTTGAATTTTTTTCTCTGAGAAAAAAATTTTTCATGATTTTTCAATGTGGTTGTTTAGGGAGAAGGTGCGGATTTCATGATGCTCCCGAGTGAGGATTTTGCAAGTCTGAACGACTACATCGACTATTTGAGGAACGATATAAAAGTAGTTGAGGAAATGCAAGATTGTGTAAGATTGCAAGATTTGTGTAGGTGCCCGCTTTTGATGTTGAAATTAACGGCGGTGCGCAATTTCGGAGGCTGATGTACGAAGTTGAAGTTTTTTTGAGATTCTCGGAAATCGGCGTGGAAACGAAAAAAAAGGATGTTATCCAAGCTCGTGGTAAGGAAGATACGGAATAGGTCCGAAAAAGGCCTATGGGGTGTTGAATAGATTTCTCGTGAGTTTTATGAAATTTTAAATTTGAAAAATCGATTCTGGTAGCGCCTTTTAAAGTGCCGATTATTATATACCCGTGTTCATATCATAATTTTCTGTTTTCCAAATCGGGAGGAAGGTCACGTCTCGAGTACAGCGGAGCGAAGTGTTTCACGATGTGCATTATTTTCCTAAGATGTCCATCAGGTGTATCTATGGGATCGGTGACATGGAGAGATGTTGTTGTGAAGTTGTTATGTACGGAAGCGTTGATTCCAATGAAATCTAGGATACAATATGCAGGTAAATCTTGCAATCTTGCGATTCCTCAACGCTGTAAATATAGCCAAGGCTGAATCTCTGTGTTGGAATGTGTGTTTGGTTACCTGAGTTGAGCTCAGGAGTTTTTTATAGGGGTAGAAGTGGACGATGAGAATTTTCCGAAATTTCCGCGGAATTTTTTTGATATTATCAGCAACATACGTAGCTGAGCATATGCGTATTTTTCCGTAGCACTGAATTTGTATTTTTGTGTGTGAGTTTGAAGTTCAACGCCTTGCTACGACAACACGGTTTAGTGTGATTTGCATTGATGCATATTAGTTCGGGAGGGATCATTTTTTGCCGTTGAAATTGTCTACTTTCATTATGTCAATGAGTTTTGTTCACTGTGGATGCACTTCCATATTTGGTAATCCTCAGAAATTTATGAGTTTTTTCCTCCGTGGAATTTACAGTTGTGATTTCACGATTTTACTTTTCAGCGGAGAGAATCAAGTGGTTTTTCATATCGCAGAAGGATGCTGTTGTCAATTTCATGTTGAGCATAAAAGGCTCGGCTGACGAACAAATGTTTTCGTTGTTGTATACGAAACATGTGAAGTTGATGTTGGAAAATGAGATGATAAAACAGCTGGTGTACAAGACGTATGATGATGCTTGTGCAAGGCAGCTCGAACAGGTGAGATTTAGTGTTGGAGGTATATATGTTCGCTTTCCTCAGCTGAGCTTGAGAGTTTCCTCATTAGTGGTAAAAGCGTCTCGGGTTTGGTGTGCAGAAACCAGGAAGATTTTTTTGCGAAAAATATATCAGAATTTTTTGAGAGTTCTGAAGAGTTTCTCGGGAATTTTCGCAGGTTCATAAAATAATCCTTCTAAGATTTGTGTGGAAACTAGTGAGCTCAGCTGAGGAGAGTGAATATATATATTCCTCTAACACTGAGCTCAGAGATATATGTGAATATTGTGTGAGTTTCAACCTAGTGAAATGAAAACTACTAGTGAAAAACATATTCTACGACTACTGCATATCACCGCGGATATCGCGTTTTTCACGGAGCTTTACGCCACTTCACATAAACGTGTGAAACTCCATTGTTTGAGTTCGATACCATCTTTTTTGATCGGACCCGTTTCGTATCTTTCACTGGAGCTACGGAAGATCCTTTCGCTTATGAGAAGAGGAAATATTTTTCATAATTTTCAGTGGAATTTCCACTGAAAATTATCAAAAAATATTTCCTTAATTTTCCACCTTAAAACGGTTGAAAAAAATTTTTTCCGTGTGCGTAAAATTGTGTGTTTTATTATTTTCAGTTTATGGAGTTGTTCGATAATACTCTGGCGTCGACTTTTTCGAATCCTTGGGTATTTTTGAAACGTGGATCTTCGGGTTTGGAGAATCTCGAAAATGATGAAAGAGACGATGGCGATACTAGTTCGAGAAGCAGCAAACAGAATGATAGCGATTCGACTGACGATGGGTTTGATGATATGCAGTTGCCAACTTTCGAGGATACTAAGAAGAGAATTCCTATGGAAATCGAGGTAGCTTGGGAGAATTCATATAGCGGGGTTTTGAAGTATGAATATGATGATGAAAAATTTATATGAAAGTTCTAAGTGGGGTTTCACCCTAGTGATATGAAAAACAGTGGTGAAGAATATATTTTACGACTACAGCATAGCGCGAATATCGCGTTTTTCACCGAGTATTACGCCACTTCACGTAAAACGGGTGAAACTCCAATATATCTTGATACCGTATTTTGCTATATTTTACTAAGGTAATTTTTTCGGGAAAATTTACCCGTAAACGTTGTTGAGATATTTACTTTGGAAAAGATCTTTCTTGTTTGCATGTAGTCGCATTTTCTATGGATGGATTGGTTGTAGTTTTCGGTGGAATTTTTTCTCTTTGGGAATCTTCGTGCGCATGCGTGCTGATGATGATGATGAAGTTGTGTTTCTCGTTTAGTCGCGTAGTGGCATTGAAACAACACTGTCTCATTGGTTGGGAAGGATTCCGATGGAGCCACAGCAGATCGATGAGGCTGTGGAGAAAGTGCAGATGCTGGTGTTGAAGACCTTCTCGTTCATCAGATCGCAAATATCTGATCAAATTGAGCTGGTAAGATGAGAAAAAATTTTTGGCGAAATTTTTCGGCAGGTTTTTTTGTTTGGGGAGTTTGTGAGATAAACTTTTGGGAAAATTCTGAGGCGATGGAGGAAAAATTCAGAAGTGTTGTGCTGTGTGTATTGGAGTTTCACCGAAGATATGAAAAACACAAATGAAAAATATATTTCACGACTACTGCATATCGCGAATATCGCGTTTTCCACAGAGAATTACAATTTACAAATAAAACTCCAGTTTTTTTCAGTTTGCTGAGTCCTTCTTCAAATTGCCGATGATGCGCAGACTGGAAGACGATATGAGTAACATACAGATGACAAATGTTGACACGGAAACCTACAGAGTGGGAAATCTCGGGCGAGGCGAGCGAAATAATTTTTTGTTTTTTTCTTGTCAAGGTTCGACGTGAATATCTTGAGGGCGAATTTAAAACGATCGAGAAGACCCTTGCGTCGTTGAATGAGTGTATTGATAAACTGCAAGGATTTGCTCTGAAGGCTCAAGCGAAGATGAGTAGAGTGGCTGGAAGCAAATAGATACACAGAGATGGCAGCGTTGTGAAAAATGTATAGATGCAACGCTTCGCTCCGCCACTGGATAGGGTTCTCCTTGACGAGTTTATCGGCGACTGATGGTCGCTGGAAAACACCGCATTTCGAAGGTTTCTGTCAAATTGCTTAAGCGGAGCGATGTTGGGTTAAGTTGATGTTAAAGTGGGGGGGGGGGGGTATCTTGAGGTTGAGCGGATAAGATACGGAGTAGGTTCTCCTGAGTGCCATGATGTGTGAGTCGACACTTGAAAGGTTGACGGGTCGAAGATTAATATATACGGGACAGTGAATGTGTTGTATTCCTTTTTGAGGATATTTTATCAATGTTTTGTCGGGGTTTCTATCAAGGAGTGATTTTGTTGAAATCTGCGGCCGAATACGAATTTGTTATTCTCGAGGTATTGTTATATTGCCATTATTACTCTCTTTGCATTGTTGTTTATTCTGTCACTGAACTGATGATGGCTATTTGGTGTCGTGTGAGGCCTTTTTGTATGATATCTAGGAGGATGATGGTGACGACTCTTGGGGGCGAGGAGAATAGTAGAATACACACGAAGCCGGCAATAGGTGGGAGAAAGAGGTTACTTCTTTTAGCAGTGATATATCAATATTAGTGGAGTTTCACCCGTTTTACGTGGAGTGGCGTGAAACTCGGTGAAAAACGCGATGCAGTAGTCTTGAAATATGTTTTTCACTAGTGTTTTTCATATCACTAGGGTGAAACTCCAGTATCTATAATATAACTCTATATACGATATTCATATTGGAGTTTCACCCGTTTCATGTGAAGTGGCTGAATATTCCATATGAAAAACGCGATATGAAGTGAATTTGAAATCACTTGGCACATTACATCGGACAATTCACAAGTGTTTCACGCGTTTTTCGCCAAGTGAAATGAGAAATATGTCTTTCGCAAGTGTTTGTCATATCACGGGTGAAACTCCAATATCTATAGTATAATATTGTTGCCTCGTTGTTTCAGGGATAGCATTTACACTTCATGACAAACCGGGGTCTCTGGTGGAGGCGTTGAGTATCTTCAGTCGAAGGGGTATCAGTTTATCTCATGTTAGCAATAGGTAAATCTTGACGTGTTGAGAATTATGCATGCACGCATGCACATGGGAAGGTGTTCCCCTTTGGAGCCGTACAAGGCGATGTTCCATGTGCATTTTCGTGGCGCGTGGGAATCGGCGAAGACTCGTGAGGTTTTGGAAGAACTGCGTCCCCTCACACTGGATGGACAACTGTAAGGATATGCGAGAAATATGAGTATTGATGGATATATGATTAGGTTCAAGATAGCAGCTCCAGATGTGCCTTGGTTTCCGAGGCACATCAGCGATTTGGACCAATTTTCGAAGTAAGTGGAATTTAAGGAGACTCCCACGAAGTTGTGGAATTTTGGTAATTTTTATTTTTTTCTATCAGAAGCACTCTCGATGCTGGGGATCAACTCGAATCGGACCATCCAGGATTCACTGACCCAGAATATCGCGCTAGGTGGGAAGCATCAATTTGCTGTTGTTAATAGTTTGTTGTTGTTTATAGTTTATTCTTGTTTATAGTTTATTATTGTTTATTGTATTATTGTTTTGTATTGTATCATCTTTATTGATACCACCTACATTAAGGCTACTCATTTTCTAGTAAGGATGACCTACTCTGGTTTTGGTCTAGTGTTGAATTAATACCATGCAAAAGGCACACGCGTTTTGTATTTCGTCATTTTTGTGGTGTAGAAGAAGACCTTATTCGGTGCTCTTATCTGGTTTTCTACCCTAGGCGTGAAGAGATAGCAAAAGTGGCGTCAAAGTACAGAGGGGCGGATGGTCCTGTACCACAGATTGAATACACAGAGAAAGAGGTATCAGCGACTCTACTCTGTGTTAGTTGTCGTTTTTTAAGCTTGTGCGAATTTGCACTGGAAGAATTTTGGGGGTTTAGTCGCAGTTTGTTGATTTTATTTACTCAGTCGCAAGTCGTGTTAGGTTGCGACCTGGGGTTACGTTTGGGACGAGCTTACTAAACTCTATCCTAGGCATGCTTGCAAGGAACATAATGATGCACTGCAGGCTCTTACGGAAGCCGGTGAGATTACTCGGTGTGGGATGTGCGCAATTTATGGTAGGGATATATGGACCTCGGAAAATACCCCAGCTGAACGAGTTGTCGGACTTCGTGTCGGCGAGAACAGGATTCCAGTTTCGGCCGGTCACAGGGTTGCTCAGTGGTCGAGACTTCCTCAACGCTCTGGCATTTCGGGTAGGGAAATGTCATTTTGATAAAGTGATGGGAAAGATGATTATTTGTTATTGGAGTTTCACCCGTTTTAAGTGGAGTGGCGTAAAACTCAGTGAAAAACGCGATGCAGTAGTCGTGAAATATCTTTTTCACTGGTTTTTCTCATATCACTAGGGTGAAACTCCAGTATCTACAATCTAATTCTATATACGATATTCATATTGGAGTTTCACCCGTTTTACGTGGAGTGGCGTAAAACTAGGTGAGCAACGCGATGCAGTAGTCGTGAAATATATTTTTCACTAGTGTTTTTCATATCACTAGGGAGAAACTCCAATGATGCTGTTAGTTGTTGTTTTGTATCCCCTTTCATGTTGAAATTAAGCTTCGATATAATTTTCGGAGATTCTGATGTCGAGAATATTCCGATCAAGATTCCAAGAGTAATGGTCAGCATTTCCTAGATGCTAGATTAGCCGTGATTTAGTTATCGTGCCTTTAGTATGATGGAGTTCCACCCGCTCAACGTGAAGTGGCGTAATATTCTATGTAAATGGTAGGACGTATATGTTTTCGCGACCGATATGAAGTGAATTGTGAAATATTTTTTCCGCTAGTGTTTTTCGTATCACTGGTGAAACTTCAATATATCATTCATCGTATAAAGTGTATAATATTGGTTAATAGTGAAATTAATCGATTATATAGTAATTTCACGTTGTAGTTCTTCGAGCTGTGTTGGCGTCCATGTGATGTAGGTATTCTTCTCGACACAATATGTAAGGCACCATTCAGTGCCCATGTACACTCCAGAGCCTGATGTTATACACGAGTAAGTACTCTGTGGCATGAGAGCTCTCTCAGGTTGAACTCATGTTGGCTGTGATTTAGATTACTTGGGCATGCGCCGATGTTCCTCAATCCTGACTTTGCCGATTTCACTCAGTACATCGGCTTGGCTAGTTTGGGTAGGTTCTGAGGGGGAACTGAGTCGCAATGATTTGGTGACACTTCTGGGTTTGGAAGTATACGGATTTTTCCCCCCCGTTTTCACACCAAAGTGTGCGTTTTCTATGATATTCACTGAAACTTGTCTTGATCGGCAGCGAAGTCGACAGCTGTAAAGTATACAATACGCGCCATCTAGAAACGCGCGAACTGGGCGGACACTTTTTCCCTTCATTTTGACGAATTTCGACCTAATTCTTTCACCATTGAGCTCCCCGTGCTTGATTACCCATAAATCCGAGTCGCGCACTTGAAAGTCGACAAAAGAATATTTTGGTCATCTTTACCTCCTTATCTTCGAGTAGTATAACGAATCTGACGGGGGAGGTCCTATGGCATAGCCGTGTGATGAGCTTGCTAATAGAGGCTCTTTATTGCGAGAGCACTACAGTGAGGGAAAAGGGCATCGCTCCGCCGGGTAGCACCTTTTAGAAGTCCTTGAGCGTTGAGCTCGGATGTTCTCCGCAGCCATTGGGGCCTGGAGGGGAAAAGGAGATCTACGTGTGAGGTTAATGATCGAGCGATGGACACTAGCTGGTGTTTGTTTGATAAGAGTGGCAAGGTCATTCACTATATAGACTCGACAATCGGAGTACACCAACGTCATAAGCCCGTCGGGTCTATAGGATCCTGGAGTATTCGTATATACTATCAATGGCTCCACTCCTGGGATGGATGAATTTCATGGGCACACGACTAGGGCCTACTGTAGGTGCCAGTGATGACGTTATCAAGAAGCTAGCGGCATGCTATTGGTTCTCGGTAGAGTTTGGGTTACTCATTGATCTCAAGGGCGCTGTGAAAGTACGTGCCACAGTCAACTCGTCGTCTTCTACACGGTGCATTGCAGGCTTATGGAGCTGGCGTGCTCTCATCTTATGGGGAGCTCCTACATTCTACTTCGCCGACTAATCCTAGTATATCTATAAAACCCTGGGACCCTGAGGAAGCTGCTAATGAAGTGATAATGAGCGTCAGTTGATATTAAGGAGCTTCCTGTTAGGAGTACCCGATCACTAAAATGCAACCGGTGTATTTCGCAGCGAAGAGTATGGAGGATGCCAAGATACAGATGAAAGCGTAAGTGCCATCAGGATGTGTGTCTGCTATAGGGCTTTGCTTAATCGCGTTATGTCAGGTACTGTGATAGAGTGAGTCGGCCCTTTCACTGTGTGTACGATTCGGAGTCACAAAGCGTCTTCACTGATGTTGATGTCTATACAAGGCCAGTTGCGATGAAGTAGGTCACCACGTGTCAAGTTTGTCACCATCTCTGTAGACGGGCTCTGTTTTTTCTAAGTGTGCGGTGAAAATATGCTTATGGTTGACTACATGTGTTGGTAACAATATAAAAAAATGTCGATGAAATCCTTGAAATTTTTCCCTGGTTTCTGTATATTTTCACACGAGCTCTTGAGCTCAGCTGAAGAGAGCTAGCATATGCTCCTCCAACACTGTTTCTGAACCCCAGCTCATGATGTGGCAGATACAGACCCGTGGATCTCTCCTTACGAGAGTCTCTCTGATGTCGTTCGCTCCTCTGTAGCGTCAGTGACATCATCATTAGCGACCTGTCATGTTATTGATACACCGTAGAGTTCATTTTTTTCTGTTCGTGCTGGGCTTGAGTGATGTAAGGAAATTTCGGTTGGAGAATTTTGCGAGTTTACGAAAAGAAAAAGTTATGGGTATTGATAGCAACAGTGCAGCGAAAAATGTTCGCTTTCCTCAGATGAGTTCAACTAAGCATAGAAGGATATACGAGAAGTGTACAGAAACAAACAAGAATTTTCCGAAATTTCCTCGAGAGCTTTGGTATTGTCACCAACACATGTGGTTGAGCATGTGCATATTTCGCCACACTGGATAGTAACTGTGATAGCAAACGCTGATGAAAATGTATCACTCGAGCCACTCAAACTGTACCTCTCGGTTGGAGAGTGGAGAGTCTATCAGTCTAACTCTGGGCGTTTCTGTGGAGTGTATTGAGAATCGAAGTGACAAGGGGGCAGGCCAGCGTGTTATAACAATTTTTCACGAGCATTTTCTCTTGACTGTGGGAGTCCTCGCTCTATGAGAAGTGGGCTTAGGTCGTTCAAGAGGGGGTTCAATTCGATACTAGTACGCGGAAGCTCTCTTTGAGGGGGGAAGCGTTGGGAGGCACGTGTTTAGAAGTGTTTTGATAATTATAAAACACCGTCATCATCATCGGCAGCAGCAGCAGCAGTCGAGGAGAGCGAGGAACGACGGTGTGATGATGAGGGCCTTGCTGAGGGGTTGGCAGAGATATGTTGCCCGGAGAAGAATTCTGTGGAGGAATAGGTGGGTAATTTCGTGGCGAGTGACGCTGGTTGTGGTATGTTGAATCTGCAGAATTGTGGTATCGGCTCGGGCAAGGTTCCGATTAAAAGAGGAGATCCTGTCACTATGGTATGCTTATAGCCACAGTCAGACTATGTGTGAGCTGAGGAGAAGAAGGAGGAACTTTGCAGATGAGGTCAGTCCTGGGCAGCGCTGTGATGTATGTTCATCAGCTCAGCTCAGCAGTATCCTCATTAGTTATAGTAGTTATGTACGAATCGTGTTAGAACTGCACAGAAACCAGCAGGAATTTCCCAGAATCACCATAGTGTCGCCAACACATGTGGTTGATCACCAAGTGCAAATTTCACCACACTGGTGCTGGGTTCCATAAAGAGATGTTGATTTTGGTCATCATCCTCTTTTATGGAGTGACATATTCGATTGGCTCGCGCCTACTAGGTGCTCACTGAGTAGTTGTTGTTGTTGTATCAGATGTCTGCTAGAAGGCGATATTTGGTGGTATCGGCGACCTTCTCAGCCTGGGTATCAACAGTATATCAAAGCCGTATGAATACCCTCAGAGCTCATCGTGCCCATGCCCACCATAGGAGAACCCTTCTTGGCAGGAGTGTTGCTGCCCTACACTTGTGAGTGGGTCTCTCTCACTGTGGCTTGGACTTATTAGGTCTTTAGTTGGAGCCAGTGTTGGAGTAGGAATATATGTTTGCTTTCCTCAGCTGAGCTCGGGAGTTTCCTCATTGATCATAAGAGGATAGAAATGTCCGAAAAGTAACCATAATTTCCTCAAAAAATCCATCTCATCACCAACGCATGCAGTTAACCATGTGCATATTCTCCCACACTACATAGTGAGAATACCGAGGCACAGGTACTCTACCCGGCGAATTCGCCTCCGGAATTTGTATGAGAGCTTGAGACGACTGCACTCAAGTGGTGTTCATCAAAATTTCTACAGCTTCTGGCGTGATGCCACCCGACGTCTTGTGTGGGCGAGGACCCGAGCCTTGGAACTCCATCGCAGAATTAGGTTAAAGCGCGGGCTTCGAGCATTACAGAGGAGAGTCTGTTTGGTTCGGGAGCGGGAAGGGGTCAAGCAGAAGGTGATATCTGTAAAAGCGCGCGCCCTGGTGATCGATTGGAGAGCGTGGACGAGGGAAAGGCTTGATAAGCGGCTTGTAAGGGCGGTGTTGAGGCGGGCGTTTTCGGGTTGGCGAGATTTCACCAGGAAGAGGAGCACGGCAGAAGACGGAGGTGTGGTATTGAAATTACGAGTGTCTTTCCAGCTCAGACGACGGGCGTGTTTAGCGTGGATGGCTGTAACTAGAAATGAGCTCTTGGCGAGACGAGCTGCTGGTGAGAGGCTAGAGCGGATGGTGTGGGGGAGATGGACGCAGTGGGTGAGGCAATCTTGCATTCTTACGGCCTTCTTAACGTGGAGGAGAGCCGTTCTGAATGTGCCTAGGGAAGCGGAGCGGGTGAGGTTACGGAGGAGCTTCAAGGGTTGGGTATTGCGGTGTACGGACATGAGGAGGGCGGCTAGGAATGGGAAGGAGTGTCGGGAGATGCACGTCGCTGTGTTGAGCTTGAGGGTGTTGTTGGTGTGGTATCGCCTGGGTCTGTTGTGGCAGGGCGCGCGGCGGTTTGCGGAGGTGTATGCGAAGAGGAGGTCGCTGAATGGTTGGAGAGAAATGAGGAAATTAGGGAAAGCGGAGCGGAGACGGCAGAGGAAAATTCATAGGAAATTTGCTGATAGAATCATCAGGGTGAATTTTTATTCGTGGCATGATCTTTGTCGCGTGCGTGACCTCATGAGGCTGAAGTTGTTCCGGTTGAAACGGCGCTGTATCGATCACCTGATCGATTTCGTCGTGGACAAGCAGTTTTGGCGGGCTCGTAAGAAGGAGGCTGGAAGGCGTTATGATGAGGCCTTGCTGAGTCGTAGCTTCGAAGGCTTTCAACAGTGTGTTGAGCGCCACCGGTTGGGACGCTACGAGGCGTGTCTTAGGCTCAGGCAGGGTTTGCTGAGGAAATGGTGGTTGAGATGGATGTACGAGGGAAGGCCTGTATTAAGGCAGGAGAATGGTCGGTGGGCGTTGGCTGTGAAGTGCTACTCAGGGGGGTTGATGAGGAGGGCCTGGCGAGGATGGGTGGGTGAGAGGAATAGGAGGAGGAATGGTAAGAGTAGGGTGAGGGAGGCTCGAGTGGTGGTCATGCGCTTGAGGGCTGTACGGAGGCTGTCGGATTGGAGGAGCTCTACGGAGAGGAGGAAACAACAGTGGAAGGTAACACAGTTGGGTTTCCATCCATTGAGTTTACCTGTGATATGAAAAACGCGAAGTGGAAAACATAAAATAGTTAATAGCAGAGCAGGTGAGCAGTGAATAACGCGTTAAACGCGTGATGTACGTGAAATGTCCGGGTGATTTGTCCGGTGTAGTTCGCGGAGTATCCTCGATTTTCATGAGGCCTATTACGCCACTTGACGTAAAACGGGTCGTGAAACTCCACTCCAGTGTACGCATAGTCCAGCCTAGTGTGCTGTGTCGTCGAGCCAAGCACCAAGGCCCAGCATGTAACCGTATATGAGTTCTTTGACACTATTCATTGAAGTTACGAGACTATCCTGGGATTTTACTCATCTCCTCTGGGTTTGCTTTCACTGATTACATCTTATAGAGGTACGGTGTTGTTAGATATGGCAGTACAAGGCCTTAGCGGTAGCCAGTGTGAGGGATGAGAATTCGCTTCGCTCCGCCTACCGATTTTGGGCGGTCGACTGTATGCGGTATGCTTCCCTGAAGCGTAGAGTGCGTGCCGTAGCGATGCGATATTACCTCTTGTTGCAATGGAGGAGATGGAGGGCTGGAGTGTCGATGGCGATTGTACAGAGAAGGAGCGTGGAGGAGAAGGCGGCGGCCCATCGTATGGTGGCGATGGCGAGGTTGGTGGGGAAGGGGGGGACATATGAGGCCCTCGAGGGGGAACTCATTTGGAATTTTCAACATGGCTAGGAACACATTCTTCGAACAGTTTTCGATGTAAATTTCATCACATTAGGCACATTTTATTCATTGTTATCAAACCCTGAGAAACGATATCAAGGCTAGAGGGGTCCGGGGAAGGGGGGGGGGCATTCGGACGGTTTGAGCTGAGGAGTGTTTATGCGATTTTGGTTATTCTCTCTCAAAATGACACCACACAAAGCCAGTTTGGAAAAACATGCACGTAGTCAACCACATGTGAGGGCGTGGTTTCTGAACATTTCAACCCGGGGTCGTTTATAAACTCCCACAATTAGTGGGAAAATTTCTGAACTCAGCTGAGAAAGCGAACATATATTCCAACATTGCGTGGCGGAGCGTCGTTGGAAAATGCTAAAATTGTTTTTGTCCGATGAGAATTGTTTACACCTTTGAAAATCGTCACTTACCGCGGTTGGCCGGACGGTGTGTTGGTTTTCTCCACTTCGTTATTTTTGGGCGAGCGAGATCGACATGGGTTCTTGACGAGGTTTTCAGGGTCTTCGACACTTTGAGGGTGGCAGTGGAGGAGAGTTTAATTAGCCGATATAATAATTCTAAAGCGCTCTTCTACTGGGCTGACGGTCTTTGTAGAAATGTGTGGGAGCAATGGGTGAGTAGCGCGCGCCCGCGTGATCGATTTACGAAGTAGTGCATAGATGTTGTATGTCGATCATCGTCGTTATACGGGTGTGCTGCGACGTCGAGCCAGCGATTTACTCTGTTTCAATCTCCTGAGGAAGGCCCTGGAAGGCTTGCAGGGTCGAATGGAATATCGAAAAGTTCACCGAGGTGTGGTACGGCGCTTGGAGGCTATTATGGAGGTGGGCTTGGTAGGCGGTCATTTTCGGACATGTTTTGTATCTTCTTCGCTGCAACCTAAGATACCTCCCTACAGGTTAATCTGAGAAGGAGGTACCTCTCCCAGTGGAAGAAACGTCTTACTTTTGAGCAACATTTGCAATCCTGTTTGGAGGTTGCCATCCGAGACGGGCACCGACGACTTCAGCGCCGTTGCCTCATAGACTGGCACAGGATTACGCGTCGGCTCCTGGTCCTACGGCGGTTAGTGGAAAGTCTTCAGAGGTGCCTCTTGAGGTCGGGCATGCGGAGAATCGTTGTTGTGATGGAGGCAGTCAAGAGGCGACAGGTGAGTAGCTACAGCGGGCGCCGATTTGATATGCAAATGTGAAAAATCAGCGTTTTTTCCTGAGGTTAATGATGATCGCTCTGAGATTTATAAGTAGTGGTAGAATAACTTGTCATGGCTCTACAGCCTGGACAAGTAACTAACAGCTAACAGTAACAGTAACACTAACACTAACACTAACACTAACACTAACACTAACACTAACAGTAACACTAACACTAACACTAACACTAACACTAACAGTAACACTAACACTAACACTAACACTAACACTAACAGCTAACACTAACACTAACACTAACACTAACACTAACACTAACACTAACACTAACACTAACACTAACAGTAACACTAACACTAACACTAACACTAACACTAACACTAACAGTAACACTAACACTAACACTAACACTAACACTAACACTAACAGTAACACTAACACTAACACTAACACTAACACTAACACTAACACTAACACTAACACTAACAGTAACACTAACACTAACACTAACACTAACAGTAATAGTAACACTAACACTAACAGTAACAGTAACAGTAACACTAACACTAACACTAACACTAACAGTAATAGTAACAGTAACAGTAACACTAACAGTAACAGTAACAGTAACACTAACACTAACACTAACAGTAACAGTAACAGTAACAGTAACACTAACACTAACACTAACAGTAATAGTAACAGTAACAGTAACAGTAACAGTAACAGTAACAGTAACTAGCACCTCTAACAGAAACTGCTGTAGTAGAATTGACTTTAAAGATTCACCATTACAATGCTACCATCACTACTTTGGTTCATATCTTGCTGACTGCTGTTGGTGATAGTCGGCTCGGGGGCCCTTTGTGAAGGGGAAGAGCAGTGTTGGAGGAATATATGCTCGCTTTCCTGAGTTGAGCTCATTAAAAGGTCACATACGAATTCGTGTAGAAGTGCACAGAAACCAATAACACAAAATTTTCACTAACACATGTGGTTGACCATGTGCATATTTTTCCACAATGGGTATCAGTTCATGAAGAAAACGTGTTGGGTAAATTGATCTTTTCAGGAGAGCCTCGCGATACTTGTGGTGGCACGATGGAGGAAGTTCATTTGTCGTAAGAGGAAAATGATGGAAGATGCTCTCAGCGCCGAGCTGGAGAGCAGTAGAATGGAAATTATGGTTCGAGCGGAGCGGGAAAAGGAGATATGGACACGGCTCGGGGAGATCCGGGCGGAGATAACGAAAATGAAAATTCAAAGTGCTGCTGGTGGTTGATCATCATCAGCTTTCTGCTTTTCTTGAGTTGTTGAGTTTGATAGTAGTATGGAAAGGGACATGGCCTTCTGGTAGTATGGAAAGGGTAGTGGGAAGGAGTATGCTGTTGAAATGACTGTTTCTTTGGTTCGGGTGAACGTGTTTGTTTTTCATCAGCTGAGCTCAGTAGTTTTAACAAGTTTGGAGTAGAAAAATTTTCACATTGTGATCAACGAACGTAGTTGAGCATATGTATGTTTTTCAACGCTGGTGCTGCAATAAACAGTTTTTCACGTTGTTGCCCCCATGGTTTTCGGACGAGATGAGAGTATCGAGACGATAGAGAGGCAAGGACAAGAGATCATGCGGTTGAGGAAGTATTGCCTCCCGATGGGAACTATCGTGGATGTATTGTGTATTTCAGGGAAGTGGCGACCCTACGCTATCGAGAAGCCCGTCGGCGGCCGGTGGGGGATATGGCACTGGCTGGAGACGAGGATGATGAACATTCCATTGGCCGTCACAGAGTGAGCAGTCTCCCCTTATTGGGTCTGTTGTATGATAGTTAGTCGCAAGTGTGGTATTACTGAATTTTGATGTGATAATATTTGCAAACTACATTGTGTCTATCGGTACTACTAGGGAGTATTCGTCGTACTATTTCACGGTAGAAGTATGACTATGATCTATGTTATTATTTTCTATGACAATGTCATTCAGCGACTCTCTTGTGGTTGGAATTAGTAGTGGTAGTAGTTGTGATTTCATTGAAATCAGTAGTGGTAGTAGTTGGAATTTCACTGCTTAGATTTAGTGGGTGGGTGAACGTCATCGTCAGGTGATGGACGGTAGTTACCACAGTTATCGTGACAGGATATTATGGCTATTGGGACTACTATTATTACAGTCATTATCATCATTCGTATTATCCTCCTATAGTACCCTTCTCACGACTCATCCCGTCATCATCTACTTCCTCACTATGCTAGTTGGTGCTGGTGGCAATGCTGGCAGTCAAAGTGCAGTGTTGGTGGTAATTCATCACTTAACATGCTGCCTCTACAGAGGAAGAGATGCTCCCCTTGTCGTCAGGTACGACGCTTAGCTCTCGGGCAACAGGGCAGCTTCTCGATAGGGAGATCAGTGACTCGAGAGATCGGCATGGCGATGGGCATGGCCGCCATCTTGGGTGTTGTCAGTGCTGTGAGAACGCTTATTGTACCTATCAATGATGGTGAACAAGTCACAGTTGTGAGTTCGAGGAAATATGGTATACAATTATTATCGCACTGTATTGGTTTCAGATCGAATCAATCGCCATTTCTATTTCTATGATGACGATTGTGCTATCGTCCATCCTTCTCGGTACCCTACTCCCGCTACTGTTGCATCGTCTTGGCTCGGACCCGGCTCACGCTGGTGCTGCTATACAAGTGAGTGACTTTGAATATTTGCGGATGTTATGGTAGTGTTTTTTTGTAGGTTTTGATGGACATTCTGGGAGTTCTGTTGACTTGTTCGATATGCGATTTCCTACTCCTCAAGGGACGAGTTTTTTGATTGATAATATCTGATAGGCGACAATGCAGCATATCTCTCCGCTGTTGATAACAGGGTTTACTTCCTCAACACGTAACGGTTGTGCTTAGTAGCGCCGCCATGGGGATGTTGTCAGTTAAGCCTGAGGCCTGAGTGATCAGTGTGGCTTCGTTATGTGTTTTGTAATCGTCCAGTTCTTGTAGTAGGCAATGTTACGTATCGAACCGACAATATGACTCACGCGTTCATTATACATGAGTTTTCGTGTGAGGCTCAAGGCGAGTGTGTCGGTTCTTCATCATCATCATCACCATCCTTTTCGCGGCTGTGGTATTCGTCAACCCAACGACTGGTATAAGTTAAACGCAATTCTGAGAGCACAGCCGGGAATTCTGAGGAAGTGTTTTAAACATCTCCGTTGACTCTTCGGCTGACTTGATGGAAAATTGCATTCGGTTGCGAAATATCCGTTACGAATTTCATACACTGATTCGTTCAACAAATCCGTGTATAAAATTCGTAAGAAATTCTGTTGAGTCCATGTAATAGCATTGCTTCTTAGCATGGGCAGCTGTAGGTTCACAAAGTGATTGAGATCTCAGGTGTATTTCATCTCCAGCGTTTGAGGTTAGATGATTTAACGAGTATGATGGTAGATAGAATCTCTAGATTTCATCAACCATTGTTCCCTAATGATTGAAAATAAGCAGAGTTTACTGAGCATAGCGGCTCTTCCTGAGCTTTTTCGTTATGACCCGAAGAGTAGTGGATCTCAGCAGTGATGATGATGATGGACGCGTTGCCGTTGCCGCCTTGGAAGAGGAGTTGGACTCAGTCGAGAGGCAAATTGAGGAGTTGCGTGTCACCAGAGATGTAAGCTACGCACGCCGAAACGTAGTTTTTCTGCCTAGGCGTTTTGATGGCATATCGTAGATATATTGGTCTTCAGATTCTCCGAAGTAAGCTGGCAAGACTACGGTCCAAGTTGGACAGTTCGCCGTCCCCAACGTCCTCATCGGTATGGGCTGACGCTGGTTTCTCATGGGACTCCAGTTTACGTGATGCTGCCTGGCGGTAGGCTAGTGGACTTTGGTTACTACAATGATGAAAACTATCGCTCTACTGTGGTGCACGTCAGTGTGGGAAAATATGCACATATTTTACAAATGTCAAATTTTACCTGATTTTTTGTTTTTATTGCATATTGGATTTTCATATGTAGTTGAGCATGTGCATATTTTCCCTCACTGGTGCACATATTTTAACCCTCGAGCCATCAGTGTTGTAATATATGTAATCGCTTTCCTCAGCTGACTCTAGAAGTTTCCTCACTAATTATAGGAGTTCATATACAAAGTAGGGTAGAAATGTCCATGAACCAACAAGAATTTTGCAAAATTTCCTCAGAATTTCCATATTGTCACCAACATATGTGGTCGACCATGCGCAGAACGAGGCCCGATCGCACAGTACTCTGTTTCGGCAATCATTTGCAGTGTTGGAGGAGTGTATGCGCGGTTTCCCTCAGCTGAGCTCGGAAATTTCCTCGTAAATTATAGAATTTCCGTCACTACGTTGTCAAAACTTACGGAAGACTCTGGGTAGGAGTGTATGAAAAACCCAAATGAATTTTCCCAGATTTCCTCATTTCTGGTGTAGTTGACCATGTGCATATTTTTTCCCAAACTCGTCATTTGAATATCGCTATCTCCCCTCAACATGTGTGCCGAACAGGTACTTTGGTGTGAAGCAATTCCGTGACCACCAACTGAGTATACTCAACGCCATACTAAGCGGGTCGGACGCCGTATTAGTGTCCCCTACAGGCAGCGGGAAGAGTCTAGTGTATCAGCTACCAGCAGTTCTTATGGGCGGTGAGCACTCTGCTATTCAGTGCTAGGGCGCAGACTTACTACCCTCAGCTAACCAAGCTAAAGAGAAGCGACTTACTGTAGTGGTGTCTCCTCTGATCTCGCTCATGCATGACCAAGTGAGTTGCCGAGATTACTATATAGGCGGTCCGGACTGGTATCAGGTTTCATCGTTGTTGGCTGTCGGTGTCGCTGCGCGATTGCTGAGCGCGCAGGAGCCGAGACAAAGGCAAACAGCAATACGGAAAGAATTAAAGGAAAAACACGTTGATGTACCGCAAAGTTTGTCGGAAATAGTTGTGAAGCATCTTTCCATCGATCCCTCCCACGTGGCATTCGTCCGTGCCTTGTATGTGATCCACCTCAGATAGTTTTCGTAACGCCGGAGAGAATCGCGAAAAGTGCCCAGTTCATGAATCTGCTTGGTCGCCTCCACGAATCAAAGAGTATTGGCTTGATCGCTGTAGATGAGAGTCACTGTATTTCACAGTGGGGTCACGATTTTCGCCAGGACTACCTGAAGTTAGGGATGCTGCGGTAGTGGCAGCAGCATACGTGATGATGATGCTTAGTAAATGTTCAGAAAACACTTCCCTGGAGTACCGATAGTTGCTACAACAGCCACGGCAACTCCGCAAGTTGTTGAGGACATATGCGGTAGACTAGATCTGGATCGGTCGCGCACTAACGTTAAGCGAGCTCCTTGCGATCGACCCAACATTTTCTATGGCGTCATTCATAAACCCAGAGATAAAGCGAGAGCGGTGGAGCAACTGTTAGCGACTGTGACGAAGTAGTCAGCAATGTTTAGGACTTCAGTTTCCACTCGCTGTCAGGTTGTGTGCTTCTTGTCCGCCTGCTGATTCGAATGGTATTGTATATTGTCTGAGTAGAAAAGAAACTGAGGATGTGTGTACGAGTCTGAATCACGCTGGTATCCCTGCTGTGTGGTATCATGGCGAGCTCGGGGCCGACAGTCGGGCAGCGGTTCACAAGTCGTGGATGTCCGGTGAGACCATGATCACTCGACATGGCCAGTGGCGTGAATTAGCCAAAGTCAGGTGAGAGCAAAGTAATCGTCGCTACGGTCGCCTTTGGTATGGGTGTACATCACGACAGTGTCCGCTGGGTTATACATTTCTCGATGCCTCCTAGTATACAACATTATCAACAGGAATCCGGTATGAGCCTATCCAACGTCTCGGAGGATGTACCTACTACTTGTGCCAGGCCGTTGTGGTCGCGATGGTAGACCAGCGATTTCAATACTGATGGCCTCGCCATTCGACATATGTCGTCAGAGTGTGATGGTTTATTGGAAGCCTAACGCCCTTCAGGAGCTCTATGTAATGGCCGAGTACGCCTTCTCGACGACTCGGTGTAGGAGAGGGTATCTTGCGGCTCATATGGGGGATGCTGAATGTCCATCTTGTGATGGTTATTGTGATGTCTGCAACACCGAGAGCTCCGCACCGCCTAGAAAAAGTCTCAAGCAATGTCCAAGCGAAGACAAGATCGTTAGAGAGATTTTTTATCAGCTCGATGAGGCAGCTGCGAGAGGGGAAAAGTTGACGTTGTTGAAACTGAGCGAAAAATGCCGGAAAAATCTCCACTGCGAAATTGAAGGAGTGGCAGTTGCTATCATCAGCCTTCTTAAGTCGGGTCATTTAAGGGAGACTTTCGATGCTACTGCATACTCTGTGAATTCCTATATCGAAAAACGAAGAACGTCCTCACCGCGGTCCATTTGGGAGTTCACTCATCGAGAAATCGAGAGTAGCGTGTCCCGAGTTTTCAATAGTCCGACGCCACAAGTGGAACTAAATGTGAACGAAGAAAAGCTGCGGATTGTTGAGAGGAAGCTGAACCATGGACGGCTTGAGATCGCTGCGACTGTTGATAAAGATATGCCTCCGCAGAAGATTCTTTCTGACCAGGAAATTCATGAGCTGCGGAAATACGATGGAGAAGGGGATCCCTTGGAAGCAGTTCGGAAAGCAATTCGTGTCCCAAGACGGTTCGATCTCTACGGCAAGAGAGTGGCTTCTTATTTGGTGTGTGAGTAGAGGAAAGTGCGTCTCCTTTTAACCGATTTGTCATGTGCTTCTGGGCGGGTCGTGACGTATTATAACTCTCCTCTTTAGGAGATAGACAGTTATCAGTGCCTTGTGGTGACGGGGTCTCCTTCTACCATCCACCCCATGATGAGCAACTAATATGAATATGGATCGTTGCTCGATTGAGCCTTCTCTCGAACGACTTCATATCACGAGTATCT